ATTCTGTGCTCTGAAGTGCTAAAGAAAAGTAAAAACCCTGAATTACATTCATACAATCTGAAATGTGACCCTGGAGCACAAAACCAGTCATAAGTCGCTGGGGTATATTTGTAGCAATAGCCAAAAATACATTGTATGGGTCAAAGTTATTGATTTTTCTTTTATGCCAAAAATCATTAGGATATTAAGTAAAGATCATGTTCCATTAAGATATTTAGTAAATTTCCTACTGTAAATATATCAAAACTTAATTTTTGATTAGTAATATGCATTGCTAAGAACTTCATTTGGACAACTTTAAAGGCGATTTTCTCAATATTTAGATTTTTTTGCACCCTCAGATTCCAGATTTTCAAATAGTTGTATCTCGGCCAAATATCGTCCTATCCTAACAAACCATACATCAATGGAAGGCTTGTTTCTATTTGTATTATCTTGTGGACACATCCTTTCATGCACCACACTTTTGTTTTGCATGTTGAGGTGCAATGTTGCATGCTAAAAGCTGTTTTTTTTTTTTCAGCATGCAGACAGTGAGAATGGATTTGCCTGGTTCCATCATTATGAAACAGAGTGTTACATTATATCAATAAGCACGGATATCTCGCTCCAGTGAATTTGTGTGTGTGCATGTGAGTGCCTTCTGTGATTAGGATCTCTCCAGCACATGGAACTGAATGTACATTCACACAGTGTGTTTGTGTGTGTGTGTGTGTGTGTGTGTCTGTGTGTTCGCAGACATGTGCAGACTGATAAGAAAGGATGTGACTCTACAAGATGAGTACATGTTGATACTGTTACAAAATATGTATAATATATACAGTGTTTTAAATATGAATAAGATACTCAAAGTGAGAATGGACATATTTATTTTGAAGACTGCAGCTGTTTTGTGTGTGAGCTGTGAATGACAGTTTTCAAGGCTGCTGACTTCTTATTTTGCCACATGAAACTGAGCAATAAGACTATGTGTGCTTGTGTGTGGGAAAGGTTTTGCTACTGCATGGGGAAGGGATGCCTCCCAATTGATAGCAAAATCCCACTGATTGCAAAATATGAAATCACTTGCCAATGCTGCGTGTGAAGAAGAAAAAAAGATGAATAAACATATACAATAATGTCTGAATGGATATCAAGATTTATGTGAAGTGCAGGGGTAGAGTTAGAGTACAGGAAATATTAGTAGCTCAGTATAAAAACAGTAGAAGTCTATGGAAAGTCCCCACCATAATCATTAATCTAGCATGTGTATGTGTGGAATGATGTGTAATGACAGATAAGACTTTCTGAACAACTTACAACTTTTGGCAACAGCTATTTACACCGTGTTAAAAAAGGTTGTTTACACTGTGTGTAAATAGCGGTAGATACTGTTTGCACCATAAAGAGCAACACATGGCATCTTGTTTGTGTTAGGTGCAAATACTCATAGATGCTATTCAGTACATAAAAGTAAAATGCTTTTTAACTAAAAGTTAAATATCTGAGCAGTGGTGGGCACAGTCAGTGAAAATCACATTAATCAACTGGTGACTACTCAACTTAACGGTGACGAGACTCTCTCTGGAATGCTTAATTCTGATTGGTCAGTCTTGATATTCATCAGTTAAATACTGCTGAATAATGGCAACACTGCATTATTGACCGCTTATCCTAAAAACATGTACCCAACATAGCTGTACATACAGTCAGTCTTAGTACAGTCTTAGTTTTAGTTAACAATAACAACAATAATTGCACTTTTTTCACCATGCTAGTCTAAAATAAAAATAAAAATATTTTTGATAGACCTTTTGATAGATCTTTTTTGAACACAATAATTTTTTCTTTATTCCCAAATTGATTTAGACAGACAAGGGCAGCAGCTAACCTCTCATGCCGTGCTTTGACAACTATCAGTATGAGAGACTCTTTCAGCCTTTTTAGGTCTCATTTGGTTTGACCTGTTGGAAATGTTCCACACCCTCCCTCACCACTCCCTTTCCTGTCGATTTTTTTTTCTTTCTGTAAATTGGTGCATGTAGGCAGTTAAGCCTGTTTGTTCAACAATCCAGCTTTTTGTTCCCTTGGATTCAGAAAGCTGGCATCATCCATCTATCCTGTACTGCTTTCTGTCTTACTTTAGATCCGGTGTGTTTGTACAGTATGTGTGTGGTAAAGATGACTGCGATGAAGTGTCTGTTTTTAGGAAGAGTCTGTGGAGTCTCTTCTGTTTCTGAAGAAACAGTTTTTCTGTGGATGTTGTGAGTCAGCATGACACCTTGGAGAACATCGACAAGGAGCCTCTCATTGTCGTACCGGTCAGTACAGACTGCAATTTATGCAGGATGCACATTAATGTTGTATTCAGAAATATTTGATGAATGTGTACATATGCAGAGGTATTTTCTCACATAATTGCAAATGATATGGCTAATAGACAGAAACATTTATCATACATTTCTGTGATGTCAGCTTGAATAGTTGGCAAGTGGTGGCAGGTAAATAGGTAAATTGTTATTTGCTTAAATTAAGTCATTCATCTACTTAAACAAAGGCAATTCTGTGCTCTGAAGTGCTAAAGAAAAGTAAAAACCCTGAATTACATTCATACAATCTGAAATGTGACCCTGGAGCACAAAACCAGTCATAAGTCGCTGGGGTATATTTGTAGCAATAGCCAAAAATACATTGTATGGGTCAAAGTTATTGATTTTTCTTTTATGCCAAAAATTATTAGGATATTAAGTAAAGATCATGTTCCATTAAGATATTTAGTAAATTTCCTACTGTAAATATATCAAAACTTAATTTTTTATTAGTAATATGCATTGCTAAGAACTTCATTCGGACAACTTTAAAGGCGATTTTCTCAATATTTCGATTTTTTTGCACCCTCAGATTCCAGATTTTCAAATAGTTGTATCTCGGCCAAATATCGTCCTATCCTAACAAACCATACATCAATGGAAAGCTTATTTATTCAGCTTTCAGATTATGTATAAATCTCAATTTCGAAAAATTGAACCCTTATGACATGGTTTTGTGCTCCAGGGTCACAAATAAGAAAATGCATGCCTCGTCACATCACTTGACAGTCAATCTGCATAAGGCTGTGATTTGCATTAGGTTGCCATGTGTGCTGAAATTTGTATAAAAGAAAAAGGAAGACTGACAAGCAAGTAATGCTGTGTGCATACTCATTTATCAGGAAAAAAAGTGCAATACTAGGTTTGAGATTTTATTATTATTATTTGAACATATTTTAATACCATGGCAACGTTATAGTCATTTACTGCTCTTTACTGTTTTGCTTACAAAATAGTTGTTTTCCATCCCAAAAGAACTCTTTCAGATCGACCAACTTTTTCCACATGACTGATGTTCAACGATCAACTTGTAGTTTCCATGGCAGCCAGAGGTTGCCATGGTCGTCTGTGTGCAGTAATCATGGGCTGCTAATGGTGTATTAAAGGAGTGGTTTTCTATTGGGGAAAAGCTTGAGCAGAAAATAGGTCTCAGTGTGAAATAGTTCAGCAGATACATACTGTATGTAGCCCACTGCTTTCTGCATACTTGTTGACATAAAAATACTTGTTGCATAATGTTTTTTATTTTGGTTCTGTTTATTTGGTCATTTATTTTTTGGGCTTTTTGTCTCTTTATTAGACAGATGGTACATTGAAGTTTTTCTTTCTTTCATTCTTTAAAAAATAAAGGTTCTTTTCTGGCATCTGTGGTTCCATGAAGAACATTCATGGAATCTTTCCATTGCACAGAACTTTGTTTATAGTGGGAAACGGTTCTTCAGATTATTCAAATGTTTTTCACACTAAGAAAACTGGTTCTTTTAAGAAGTGTTGACTGAAAGGTTCTTTTGTGGTGCCAGAATGGTTCTTCTAAGGCTTTGCTGTGAAAACCCCCTTTTGGATCCCTTGTTTTTATGAGCCAGTGGTTGATCTTTGATCAGAGTAGAGGGAGATAATGGAAAGCTGTAGGGACGTGACAGAGGAGGCTGATCCAGACCCCATTGCAGAGCCTCTCAGTAACACAATATAAACTAGCTATTAATGTCTGAGAGTCTGTGCATTCGTTGACTGTGAATGGTGAAGGGTGGATGTCAATAACATCAAACGTCATTGTTTTTTGACTGAACATCATGACGTCAAACCTGTGCCATCGGAGCCATGTTAACTGAATCTGGAATCTATCTCCAATCTGTGTTTTTGTCCTAAATTACTACAGTACACCTCTAAGTGTTTATATTCAGACTATTGTAAATCTGTCAGTGACTCATCCATAAACAGAGAGAAGTTGCAGCGTTCTCCAGCTGCAATGTTCTTCTGCACTTTTGTTTATTAACTGCTAGAGCGCCATAGTTGCATAGTGTACCTTTAATTTTTCCTCTGTTTCTCACACAAAACTATTGTGTGACTTGAGTAGCACACACGTCATATGGTCTATTATTATGATATATTTATTGTGTGTTTCACGAGTTCACACTTACATATAATGAACAGAGTAAAGGTTATGTGTATTTGGCGTGCTGTCCGGGGAGAGGGCTCCGAGCTCGGTAATTACTCTCGAGCCCGGGGTACTCCCCCTGTCCGGGGAGAGGGGTCCGAGCTCGGGTCTAAGCCCGGACCCAGAGCGCTCCCCCCGAGTGTTCCTCCCCGTGCTGGGATAGGAACGGGCAGAAGGTGATGAGTCGGGGTGGTGGAGGGATGCTGAAAGACTAGAGATAATGAAGGTAAGGCTGCTTTGATTATTTATAGAGGTTCTCTCTTGTGCTGATTGGATAGTTAATAAAAAAATGATATATTTTTTTTGTAATGTTTCTAATCTAATATTTACTTTTTATTTTATTTCAGCTTTATTTCAATTAGCAAAAACATTTGTAATAGTTTAATAGTTTGTATAGTATAATATCTGCCAGCAAAACTGTCGGCAAGTGGTCCATGCTAACCACATATATATCGAATTTCAATTAAAAACACCCCTCTCTTTCATTCTCTCCCCAGGTACTGTCACTCGGAGCAGATGTGCTTCCTGAGTACAAGCTTCAAGCTCCACGCATCCACAAGTGGACCATCCTCCACTACAGCCCGTTCAAGGCAGTGTGGGACTGGATCATCCTGCTCTTGGTGCTCTACACGGCCGTCTTCACGCCCTACTCGGCCGCCTTCCTCCTCAACGAGCAGGAGGACGAGAGGAGGCGCACCTGCGGCTACACCTGCAACCCCCTCAACGTAGTGGACCTGGTGGTGGATGTCATGTTCATAATCGACATCCTCATCAATTTCAGGACCACTTATGTCAACCACAACGACGAGGTGGTCAGCAATCCCACTCGCATCGCTCAGCACTACTTCAAGGGCTGGTTCCTCATAGACATTGTGGCCGCCATTCCCTTCGACCTGCTCATTTTCAGAGCAGGTTCAGATGAGGTGAGGGCTGTGACATGCTCACTAGGTGGTATATTAATCAATATTATGTTTCAAATGCACAGCTAGAACAGAGCGTACAATTGTTTAACCTTCTAAATTTAGAAGAACCATTTAGAATAGTTAATGAATCATCTAGAATATTGATCGCAGTGTAATAATGTTGATTGCGCTTGTTATTCTGAACGTTCTATCGACCTGTAGATACTGCATTATTGGTGATGTATACAGTAAAGGTGAAGGTCACTTCCACAAAATAGGGCTGGTGCCATTTTAAATATTATCATACAATGGTTCTTACTACTTAACGAGTACTGAAAAGTATGTGATTTGAAATCTGCCATTTATCTCATGAAAAACAGAGTCTGATTATGGTCATTTATTTTTCTTTTATATAGTGTATAAGTATATAATTCTATAATATATAACGAGAACAGTTTAGAAGTTAACATACTGGAAGTATTATTAATCTTTTTTTTCCATGAAACACAAAAGGTGAAATTTTAAATAACATCCTAATCACTCCTAATGCACAAAAAGCATCATAAAAGTATCTTCTGACTTGTGAACCTAATTATAAGTCTTCTTAAAGGGATAGTTAATGAAAATTGTTAATGAAAATTCTGTAACCATTTACTCACCTTCAAGCTGATTTAAACCTATACGAGTTTCTTTCTTCTGTGGAAAATAAAAGAAGATATTTTGAAGAATGGAATGAAGAAACAGTTGATGGTCCCCACTGACTTCCATAGTATGGGGGAAAAAATTGGGACCATTAACCGTTTGGTTACCAGCATTCTTCAAAATGTCTTCTTTTTTGTTCAGCAGAAGAAAGAAATTCTTGCAGTAAATGATGATTAAATTATGACAGAATGTTCTCTTTTTTTGGGGTGAGCTTTCCCCTTAAACCATATGATAGATTTGTATGAGGAACAAATCAAAATTTAAGTCTTGAATCTCAGAGTTTGTGAACAAATCGTTCTTTTCGTGAGTCAAATATTTTTTAATGAATCTTTTGTTCATGAATCATACTGATCCATTCTTCAATTCAGCTTACTGACTCAATGACTTCAGTTCACAGCTCACTAGAGGAAAAATGATTGGTGAATAGTGATTTGTTCCTCACGTAAAGCCATGCAATCACTTCAGAAGTCTATTTAACATGACTTTTTGATGTTTTTTAAAGGGGTCCTATTATGCTTTTTCACTTTTTCAACTTTAGTTAGTCTGTAATGTTGCTGTTTGAGCATAAAAAAGATCTGCAAAGTTACAAAGCTCAAAGTCCACTTCAAAAGGAGATATTTTATTTAACAGAAATCACTTTTCAAAAACTACAATGAACGACTCGTTTGGACTACAACGCATATTTTCCAGGATTTGTGATATCACAAATATCGACGAATGGGACGACACCTGGTTGAGCTGCACTAGAGAAAGCAACGAGTGTTATCACTATGTTGGAGACACGGTAGCTTTCCCAAGGCAGATGAACTTAGAGTGGTTACAATCATCCGGGTTTAAATCGCGCTCAAATTGATTTGATTTTGACGCAATATTTACACTGAAGCTCGCAGCAGGCGGCTATGGTAAGGGGCATGACATTTCCAGACCAGGCGCCGAGTGCTGCCAATCACAACACACACTGGCCCAGAAAAGCCAATCACAGCACATTTCGTATTTCAAAAGGCGGGCCTTCATTTGATACAGGAACTATTCGAGCCGTTCATGCCAGACTGGGGAGAAAGGTGTTGTAATAATGTAAAATATGTGAAAAATAATGTGTTTTTCGAACAACCTAGTATGAGAGCCTGTTCCAGTACACCCCCAAAACAAAATCAAGACTTTGTAAAAGAGCACAATAGGACCCCTTTAACAGTATCAATGTATTAAAGGCCCCTCTATCAAGGATCAATATGTAACTGCACTGTACTTCACCTTCAGTAGTTTGACCAGCGTGGGATTCGGAAACGTCTCTCCCAACACCAACCCTGAGAAGATTTTTTCCATTTGTGTCATGCTCATTGGCTGTAAGTGCACTACATTCATTATCTATATGTGTCCGTGGAGCACAAAACCAGTCTTAAGTCGCTGGGGTATATTTGTAGCAATAGCCAAAAATACATTGTATGGGTCAAAATTATTGATTTTTCTTTTATGCCAAAAATCATTTGGATATTAAGTAAAGATCATGTTCCATGAAGAATTTTTTTAAATTTCCTACCATAAATATGCTAAAACTTAATTTTTGATTAGTAATATGCACTGTTAAGAACTTCATTTGGACAACTTTAAAGGCGATTTTCTCAATATTTTATTTTTTTGCACCCTCAGATTCCAGATTTTCAAATAGTTGTTTCAACTGATAATAATGAGAAATGTTTCTTGAGCTGCAAATCAGTATATTAGTAATTTCTAAAGGATCATGTGACACTGAAGACTGGAGTAATGGCTGCTGAAAATTCAGTTTTGCATTACAAGAATAAATTACATATTAAAACAAACATTAAAATAGAACAGTTATTTTATGTTGTGATCATATTTCTGAATATTACTGTTTTTACTGTATTTTATAAGATATTTTATTCAAAAACTTCTTACTGATCCCAATCTTTTAAATGGTAGTGTATATATTATAAAAAAATCTTTTGTTTGCACCATGCTCTTGGCTGATGATAATCTTTGTTCTTCTTTATTTCCAGCCCTGATGTATGCCAGTATCTTTGGCAATGTGTCAGCTATAATTCAGAGGTTGTACTCAGGCACAGCTCGCTATCACACTCAGATGCTACGTGTGAAAGAGTTCATCAGGTTCCATCAGATCCCAGGAGGACTTCGACAACGACTAGAAGAGTACTTCCAGCACGCCTGGTCCTACACTAACGGCATTGACATGAACGCTGTGAGTTACAAACACACACATAAACTCTAAATATACCTGAAGTAATACATGTACTTTTATATACTGCCCGATATAATGTTCAAAGTATGGTGAGAGGGCTTCCGGACCCCTCATATGTGTTATAAAGCACCCATAAGAATAAATCGTTTTTAATTTTTTTTTATGTTTTGATTTATACTTAAAATGCTACCTTTTAACCCTTAGTCAATTTATGGGGTTTAATTCAAATGTGAAAAATATTGTACATTTGTAAAGTTGCATAATGCTGTCGTTTTCTCACATGTCCTGCTACAGGTGTTGAAGGGTTTTCCGGAGTGTCTGCAGGCTGACATCTGTCTGCATCTGAACCGCAGTCTGCTGCAGAACTGTAAGGCATTCCGGGGGGCGAGCAAGGGCTGTCTGCGGGCTCTGGCCATGCGTTTTAAGACCACTCATGCCCCACCCGGTGACACTCTGGTGCACAGTGGAGACGTATTAACTGCACTGTATTTCATCTCCCGCGGCTCCATAGAGATCCTCCGAGAGGATGTGGTCGTGGCCATTTTAGGTTTGACTACTTTCTAGTT